CATGTTATCTTTTTTTTTCTTTATTTTAGTGACTGTATAAATGGCATCGAGTGAGGGGTTTCTGACTCATGAGCAAAGGGAAATGTTGAAAATAGCCAGCCAGAATTCAGAAATTTTGTCATCATCTCCGAAATCCCCAACCTCCCTGCTCTCCGATCATCAATTAAAAGTTCCTGCTGGTGGCAAGGCTCCAACAGCTGGGATTGCGGTAAGGCATGTGCGTAGGTCACACTCTGGGAAGTTTGTCCGAGTGAAGAAGGGTGAGTGTAGTACTTCCCTCTCTTCATCTTAATGCTACTGCTGATCACTTCTATTTTAATAAGACTATTGTAATCCTTTGTGATTATTGTCTTTCTTCTCTAATCTTTAAATCAGATGTATTGGTGAATACTATCGGTCTCTTGCTGGATCAATTAATTTTTAAAATGCTATGGTCCTTTGTGATTACTGTTTTTTTTTCTAATTGTTAATTGGGATGTGTTGATGAATATTATTGGTCTGTTGCTCGATCAATTAATTTTTAATTTACATTATATATCTGTCACATGGGTGTTATAACTCCTTTTTTTCCCCCCCTTTATTGATTCTTTGATCGCACTTACTGGATAATAAACCTTCTGTGCATGATACTGTTGTGCTAATGAATGGAACAAGAGCCTTAAAAGTTCTAACTGGATATCCAGCAGCAAGTTTGACTATTGCAATGCTACTGTAGTAGTTTCTATCATTACAACAGAGGAGAGTTGGACAAATGATATGCCCTTCTTTATGGTTAGATGTAGGTGGATGTGTTATCTGTGTTTATGGTCTACCAGTTGTGCTAATTTCGAAGGAGAGCTTGTTAATACATGTAAACAATTTTGTTTTATAAATGGGTGAAACCCTCTTGATACCTTATGAATATTAATTTATTTTTTCAATAAAAAATTGATCTCTAAAAATATTGAAAGAAAATTGTCCACGTAACACATACAAGATCCTATTTTACTTTTTCACTGATGCTTCTATTGTGCTTGTAATTCATCTGTATATTAGTTATGGATCATTTCATTTATGTTGGTAATGAGTTCCGTTTTTTATGCTGGTTATATGTTGTGTCAATAACCAGGGGTAACATAGGAAAAAAACTACACAAGTGCGAAGGAGACAAATTGTACAAGTGTAATTTGGTCTTTTCCATTATAACAGCATGCAGCTAGAGTTAGGGTTAGGGTTTGATGAATGGTAAAACAGAAAAACAGAGGACGATCGGGACCTTTCCCGATTGTCTTGTTGGCCGTTCAGGTGGTTACAACTTCTAAGCGCTCCTGGAGGTTATACGTCCCATTTCCTGCCTTTTGTAGCCTATAAATAGGCAAGATCTCTGTGAATGTAGGGAGGAAAAATCAATTAACTTAAGCAGTCTAGTCTCTCTCTGTCAATTCTTTTTCTCTCTGTTTCTTCTCAGATCAGAGCGATGAACGAGGCTCGTGACATGTTGCTTCATTTGTCTCACTCACATGCCATTTTATTTATCTTGGTTATATGTCCTCGCATTCATTTAACTATTCCCATCTTCTATGGTTATTTTTGATTTGTTAAAGCTGTCTACATGCATTTTGAAAACATTATATAGGCTAAAACACTTTCTATCTAGGATGAAAGAGGTCTACGGTCTAGATCAAATCTTAATGATCAAAGCAGGAAATAAACTATTAAAGTGCCACCTTATACATTTTTAGTTGTGATACTGTTGAACTTTTCCTGAACTATGTGACAATCCTTTATTTTCTGATTAACTGAGGAATTTTGTTCTCGGGCATGGATTTCTACTAATCTTGTGCTTAAAGCCTTTGAGGGTATGGGAGTCACAGATGCTTGGTCGCAACAGAGCTACTTTGCTTTTGTCAGAATGGAAGAGAGTTGAAATCCAAATTATCAATATGGCCAATAATGTGTATTGATATTGATTACTGTGCATTAATTGCCGTCTATTTTTTGTTGTTAGTTCGTATTTGGTGAAAAAATGTTTGACTGGTATTTCCTATATGTTTATGGTATAAAATTGCTTTATACCACTAAAACGGATGTGTCCTTTCCGAAATCTCTGATAAAATGATATATTCATTGCTGTTATTTATATTATTGTCTTTTTTAGGTCCCTGCGAGTGCGTGTCAGATTATCTTTTGGTTTAACACTTTCTTTATGGGCTTTAGGCAATTTTTGGACCCAGTAAACCATTTATATGGAATTTATTTGGAAATCGACATTGTAACTGAGAAGGTGAATATTCCATTGGAAGATGATGGAAATTTACCTCCAAGAGAATTTTTTATTTTTCATCACCTTATGGAGGAATTCTTCCTCTCATAGGTAAAAACTAATTAAAGATGACTGTTAAAATATTTATTGACTATACAGCTCATGTTTTTCAATAGTCATGCAGGTCATGCTTTTGTTAATTGCTTTTGGCATCTGGAGTTTCATTAATTGCGTGAATTTCTTCTATAAATAGTTCATGCGATTGGAACATTGCCTTAAGTTAATATCTTTGTTACTCTGATTTCTCGAAATGGATATACAGCTCATGTCTTTTAGGCATAAAGGTCATGTATTTGTTAATTGCTTTTGGTATTTCAACTTTCATTTATAGTGGGGCTTTCCTGCTTTTAAGCACCCGCACCCCATGGCACATCTTGCTGGATGCGGTAACTCTTAGTAGTTTATTTACTAAAAGTCCGCACTTGTAGGAGTCTATAATAATGGTTGGTGATGGGGTTTCTAGGATATTGTTTTATTTGCTTATTTCTTTATTTGTATTGAACTACTTAAAGGAATTTGGATTCCATATATGCATTATTTTTAACAAGTGATATTTTTCATTTGCATTTGCAATAAACTATGTGAAGTCATGAATAAACCCAATTATCATATGACGGATTTGATTTTCTCCTGCATTTTCATCAATTTTTTTTATTTTTTTAAGAACTTTTTTTGTGTTTGATTCTGAGTAGCATTTTTTTTTATATTTCATTTTGACAGATGGTGCTGGGGGTAAGGGAACATGGGGAAAACTGCTTGATGTTGATGGTGAATCCCACATTGATCGGAATGATCCCAACTACGACAGTGGAGAGGTAATTGCTGCTTTTCATCTGTTTCTACTTTCTCAGAATCATAATGCATTACTTGAAGCACTCATTGTTGCTCACTTTTTGTATTTCACTATGCATGCAAGTTACTTTGGTAATTTTAGAAGTTATTTTTTGTTTCAATTGTAATGTATATTTTAGGAGGTGGGAGGGGTTTGGGATGATTACATTACCATCTTTGTTTTCTTTTAATCCTTTTCTTGAATAATTTTTATAGGAACCGTATCAGCTAGTTGGTTCAACTATTTCAGA